TTGTCAGTTTTGTTTATTCTCTCAAAAAACCAGCTTTGGGATTCATTAATTCTTTTATTGTTTTTTTAGTTTCAATTTCATTGATTTCTGCTCTAATCTTTAAAATTTCCTCTCTATTATAAGCTTTGTGTTTAACTTGCTCTTCTTTATCTAGGGGCTTGCATTAGGTTGTTTATTTGTGCTCAGTCTGTTTTCTTAATATGACAATTTATTCCCATATATTTCCCTCTTAAGACTGCTTTAATTGCATCCCACAAATTACAGTATGTTGTTTCCACATTTCCATTGAATTGTAGGTATTGCTTTATGTTTTTCTTTAATTTCATCTGTAGTGTACTGGTTGTTATTTAATTTCCATGTATTTATGCAGGGTTTGCCATTAATTTCCAATTTCAGTGTGCTATATTCAGATATTATGCATAGGATAATTTCAGAACCTTAAGAATGTTTTACAGGATGAACTATGGTGTATTTTGGAGAATGTCTCATGTGCAGCTGAGAAGAATGTGTATTTTGATGTGTTTGGGTAGAACACTCTGTAAACATCTACTAAGTTCAATTGCTCACAGATATGATGGAGTTCTATTATTTCTTTGCTGACTTTTTGTCTAGTTGATCTATCTCTTTGTGACAATTGAATATTAAGGTCCCCTGTGTTAATTGTGTTCTTGTGTATTTGGTTTTTCATGTCCATTAGTATTTGTCTTATATAGTTCAGTGCTCCTGTATTTGGTGCATATATATTTATAATTGTTTGTTCTTCCTCTTGAATTTTTCCACTAAGGGGCATGTGGTGATTTTCTTTATCACTTTTAATCATTTTAGGTTTGAAGTTCATGTTGTCTACAAATAGAATAGGTTCCCCTGATTTTTTCTGGGTTTCTGTTGCATGAAATACTGTTTTTCATCCTTTGAGTTTTAATCTATGAATTTCCTTTTGGATCAGATGTGTTTCCTGTATACTGCCTATTGTGGGATTATGTTTCTTGATCCATTCTGTCAATCTATTTCTTTTGATAGGTGAACTGAGGCCATTTACACTTATAGTATAACTGATATGTACTGGCTCAACTTTGCCATGTTTTGTTCCAGTTGCTTGCTTTCTGCTTTTCTCCTTGTTCAATTGCTTGTCCTACCTGGTGGTTTCTTTCTGTTGTTGTTCTGAGGATTGTGATCATTTTTATGTCTATGAAGTATGTCTTTCCATTCCCTTTCTAGGGTTGACTTGGTGGACATGAATTTCTTTAGTTGTTTATTGCTATGGGAAGTATCTTGTTTCTCCATTAAATCTGAGTGAAAATTTTTCTGGGCACATCAGTCTGGGTTGATAGTTGTTTTCTTTCAAGGCTTGACCTCCCTCCAAGCTCAACTTGACTTGAGGGTTTGTGCTGAAAAGTCTGCCATGATTCTAATGGGCCTTCCTTGATAGGTGAGTTGTGTCTTGTCTAACAGGTTTTAGTATTATATTTTTATGCTGCATGTCTGGGATCTTAATTATTATATGTCTGGGTGTAGATTTATGTTGGTCGTCATTGGTGTTCTGTATGCCTCACTTATCTGCATATTAGATTTTTCCCCATATTTGGGAAATTTTCTTGCTATTATTTCTGTGAATATTTTAGTTATGTCATTTGCATTGAGTCTTGCATCTTCACTTATGCCTATTAGTCTTATATTATTTCTCTTGGCATCATTTTGAAGATGCTAGATTGTCATTTCATGCTGCTTTGTTATTTTTAAAAGTTCTATCCTTTCATGATCGCTAATTACAATCTTGTCCTCTAGGTCCAAAATTCTATCATCAGGTTCATTTAAACAGTTTTGCAAGCATTCAATAGAATTTTTTGTTTCTTGGATATCTCTTTGAGTTTGTTTCATGAATTCTGCATGTTTTCTATATTGTTCATCCAAGGTTTCAATCAATTTCCTATGCTCCTGTGGTTTTGTTTTTAAATGTATTTCTTCTCTAGCTGTGCTGAGCAACTCCTTTACTAAGGTTTGTTATTTCTGTTTTTATATGAGAGATTACTTCTAATTTGATTTCCTCTGTAGCTTCATGGAGTTTTTTTAAATTTTACTTCTTATCTTTTCATAGATTTCCAGTGTGTGACTTTTGAAGTCCTTTATTTTAAGGCCTCCTGTCACTACTCCTGTTGGACTAGATTTTTGAGATTGCATTTTGCCATTTTTCCCGTTCAGATTAGTATTTGATCCTTCAATCTCACTAGTGTCAACTGTTGGTAATGTGTATCTTGGGGTCCTACTGTAAGGTTGATGTTTGTCCAGTTGCTGGGTCACACAATGAAGAAGTGGGCCAGTCACCTGAATTACCCCTGCAGGGCCTGTTGGGTGAGTCATATGTTCTTCCTAGGCTTACAAGCGTAGGCGTACTGATGGAAATCAATCCCTAGTTCCTGCTGTTATTATATCTTCAGGTTGTTCAGAGTCACCAGATGTCCCTGTTATATTGTTTGCCTGGGCTGGGACCCTACTGTGTCTCTGGATGTCCCACAGGCCCCTTAATTTTCTCCAGGTTGGTGGAGGCCTTACTGGCACCCTCCTCAACCTCCTTAATATTCTCTGTGTGGAGGAATGACTCACCTACCCACTTGCCAAGCTCACCTATGGCCTACTTCTGGAGGTGGCTTTCCTTTTGCTCCTGTTTATCCACTGAAGGTGGCAAATTCTACTCCTATTTTAGGGGCAAACTCACCTCACTGATGGAAGCCTGCTGACTTCTTCTGGTTGGATGAGGGGTTACTGAGTCTCCCTTGGATAATGCATGGTTAATCCATTGTAGTCCAAGGTTCTGGGGAGAGGTGTGGGAGCTGAAGATCAACAGCAATACTAGATCCAGGATTTGGGGGATGGTTCCTGATGGCAGTGGTGGGATTGCAGGAGCATGCGTCATGGGCTGGAGTTCCTAGATCTTGAAGTGGGTGGCCAGGACTGTGGGGGGAAATGGGAGGGGCCTGGTTCTGTCCCGGCCCAACTGCATTGCTGGCAAGAGTTCCTGCCTACTGCAAGGTGGTCTGCTTGGATGGCGGGAGTCATGGGAGGGGCCTGGGTCTAGCTTGGTCCTATGTGCACTGCTGGCTGGAGTTCCTGGGTCCCCTGAGGTTGTCTGCTGGGACTTGGTTTATTTCTTCTATCTCACATATTGCTACTCCAGATGTCACTAGTTACTAGTAATGTCAAACATTATTTTGAATGTTTCTTGGGCATTCAAATAAATTGTGCATCTATATCTTTTGTGTGCTCTTTAGATAGTTGGCTTTTATTTTTTATTGATGTGTGGTTCTCTATGTACTTTGGAAGCAAGTTTTTTAATTAGTCATATACATTGAAGAAGTATCTTCCAAGTGTTTGCACTTTATTGATTCTGTGTGTTTGTGTTTTCTACAAAGAAATTTGGAATGCACACACACTCAGATTTTAGTTTTCCTTTCTGCCATGTTTTTTTTTTTTTGTGCGTTATTTATGACCTCTTTTACTTCATTGTGAGATATTCTATATATATTTTCTTCAACAGCAGCATTACTATTTAGAAATTTAATCTGTCTAGATATATATGTTTTGTGTATGTTGTAAGGTAACGATCCAGTATTATTATTTCTTACATGTTTTCTGAATACCTTTTATAGCTTGCCATTTTTTCTTTAGGATATTTACAAAGTCATTTTGGTGACAATGTTTTTGTTTACATGTGGTCCTATTTCCACAGTCTATTATTGATATTTTTCTGTGTCACTATATTACTTTAATAACTACACATTTAAAATTACCTGTTGATATCTAGTAAGAATAATACTTCCTATGAACATTTTAAACTAGTTTTGCATATCTTTGTCTTTGCCCTTTCATATAGATTTTAGGTGTATTTTGATAAGTTCTATTGAAACCCTTTACAGCTCTGCATGGAATTTATATGTTAATTTGACAAAGTCATCGCTATCATTTTATTTAATCTTAATCATAATGTACACATATGTACATTTATTTAATCTCATTCAACATATTACAATACATTACATATTACATATCTCCAAAGTTAATTAAGAATATTTAAAACTTTCAATAAGTCTATAATATTCTCTCTAAAGCTGTTATATATCTTTTATCTGAGGTGTTCTGTGTATGTAATTTTTGTGCTATTGGAAATTATACTAGCATAGTCAATGTTTTTCTTCTCCTGTAATATTGCTGAAACAAAGGAATGTGATATTCATGTATTAACTATATTTAGAAATATTTCAGAGCTATTATCCCTAATATTTTTTATATATTTGGATGTCGTATGTGGATATATTACAAATCTGTAGCACTGATGTAAAAATACTCCAGAGGAAAGAGATTAGAAATGGGCTAACTCATATACAAACAACTGATTTATGACAAAAATGAAAAGGTAGATAGGTGGGGAAACAATAGATAGCCTTTACAATATACAATTATACAATTATGAAACATTTATATCCACATGAAAAAATGAACTTTATGTCATACATCACACCATATATAAAATCACTCAAATAGATTATAGATATAAATTTAAAAAGTCCAAACTATCATTTCTAGAGCAAAATAGGAGAAAATTATCTGCTCTAGAGTTTGGAAAATGTTTCTTAGCTATGACACCAAAAACATTACCCACAAAAAAATGAAATGATAAAGTGGGTTGCATCTACTGTATCCACAGGTCACATTTTAAAAATTTTATATCTATAATATATGTAGACTCTTATACATTGATATTCCTCAAAAATTTAAAGTAGTCACAGATAGACCTGTTCTGTAAACATATTGGAGGCATCCAGTGACCTCTAAAGACATCTTTGACAAATTCTTTAGGAAGCTTTTACTTATATTTCACCCAAAATCCTTTACTGTTCTATCGACTTTGTATTTTCCCTTTAAAAAATATTAAGCACTCACATTGTTTATTTTAAAAATGGAATCACACAGGTGGTGTAATCTTGTATATTTTGGATTTCTTACAGGTTGATCCCAAAGCTGTGAAATGGAAAACGAATATAAGGAGATTCTGCTAGTCAAGGGCCTGGAAAACCTCAATGATGAAGAACTAAAGAAGTTTAAGTTCTTCATTCCAGAGAAGCTCAAGATTGCCAAGAGCCGACTGCAACCTGCAAACAGAACAGATGTAGCGCAGTTGATGGTTGAAAGACTCGGTCCAGTGGCAGCACTGAGGGAGGCCATTAAACTTTTTAAGAAGTTAAATCAAAATGAAATAGTGAAACATATCGAAGAAGAGAAAAAGAAAGGTAATGTGGGAGTAGCCCAACTTTCCTGGCCTCAGAGAAGGGAAATTTACAGTGCAGGTGGTTGGAATTTGCTTGCTAACTTGGTCCTTTGCTCTTTTGTCATACTTTACAGAAGGCTCAGGCTTAACCTAGGGTCACAGCAACACCAAGCAGCTATAAACCATCTGCACATCTCTCTTGTGCCAGCCTGTGGGGGTCCTGCCTGGCCTGCCGTTTTTTAGCTTTGTATTTTAGTACATGTTTATGATACATAATGAAGACATTCATTGTAAGGAGCTGGTACATACACCGATTACATCTTAATCCTTATCATCCCCTTTCCCCTACCATTTCTAAATCTACCTTCTCATCTGTGAAAGGTCTCCCTCCCTGCAGAGGAAGCCTTCCCCTACTCCAGAGATTCTGTCTCCTTCTCTTTTTTCCAATGTAGATGACAATATAAACTTCCCAGGGCACAGAAACCATGTTTATATTATTCAATAAATCACAAGCCATCTCTGTGAACTATATATATTTTAATTTTCTGACTGTACCCTAGGAATGATTATTACATCATGGATTTATGTCATAAAGACTAAGAGAAGCTAACACAAACCATCTCACCTGAGGATTTCCTAAAGTGGGAGACTTCAAGTGAAGTAACTTCATGATTCTAAGTATAATGCTTAGAATTATATAGTATATTATATATATTATATTATATATTTATATATATTATATATATAATATACATATTATATATATTTATATATAATATATATATATTATAAAGTATAATGCTTAGAATAAGTATATAAAGTATAAAGTTACATCAAGTTTTGTACTGCAGTGTGTTTACAATGTGAATAGCATGAATTTCCATATGTGATTTCTAGGAAAGCTAACATAAAGCCATTTAAGTGGTGATATAAGTATACATAAATTCCATAGAGATCTAAACCATTAGTCCGTATCTAAGACACTAGAGAAAGGACTGAACATGCTGTGTATTTTATGTTCCTTAGCTAGCTGGTTAAAAAAGTGTATATCTTAAATGTGACCACAAGGTGGCAGTGATTACACATAATTATTTCTGGTAAACAACAGTTCTGTTTTAAGATTTGGTAAACATTTGCTGAAGACACACTTTTAGGTGTGTCTTAGTTGTCTTAGTTACTTTTTACTCATTGCTGAGACAAAATACCTGAAGCCCAAGTTGGGAAAAGAAAGGTTTATTTCTTACAGTTTTTGGAGGTTTCATTCCACACTCAGTTGGCTCCAAGGCAGGCGGGCATGGCTGGGCTGCAGTTCATGGCAGCTGCAAACAGCAAGCAGGAACCAGCAAAGAGCAAGACATACCTTTTTCCTGCCATTACATTACATCCTGGCTCCACCCCTATGTGGATGTAGCACTGACACCATCAATCCAAGCACTAGACAGTGAACCATCACAAATGCACAATGCAAACTCATGAGGCCTGGGGGACATAGACATAAACCATGACATAAGGAATGACTTTTTTTTTCTACCTCACATCAAGAATTCATTCTTCTTTTTGGCTAATTCCTTTACTATAATCTTCCTCAATTTTCTCTTTTGATTGTCCTGGGATTTTAAATATGCATTAGCTAAAACTAAAGTACTTTGGGAGTAGGTTAGAAGCTCTGTGAGTTGTACAAGATATTAAGTCAGTTCTTTAATAGCTTTAAAGTTCCATCTGAGGAAATCTTTAGGTCTACTGTTTATGTGCCAAATTTATCTGTGTCCTTTGACACCTCCATTATAGTAGGAAGCCAGTGCTTTTTGCTTTCCTCTTTTGCTCTTTGAATATTCCTCCACTAATGCTGCATGATGTTCAGTGAAGGTGGGAGAGATCAGAAGGACCCTGTAATGATAGCAAAGTGAATAACTAGTACAATGAGCGTCATGTACAGAAAGAGAGGTGATAAAACATGAGGGTACCTAAACATGAACTACAGTCTATGAAAGTCCTGTAATATTAAAAAGGCTGTGAAAATTGGAAGAACTGCGGAGGTAACTCAGTGATGGAGCACTTGACTAGCATGTGAGGACCTGGGGGTTTAATCCTCAGCAACACACACATACACACACACACACACACACACACACACACACACACACACTTCCTTGCACAGACAGTCAGATCAATATGAAACACTGAAAATGATACATCATAGCTAAAAACTATGCACTTGTACTAAGGAAAATGAGCGATTTATCATGAAAAAATAAGCTCTTCCAGATGTTTCTGTGGTACCACTCTGTGTGAGATAAAAGATGGCTGATGGGATGGAGTAGAGTGGGTGAGTCTTTCAGAATCCCTTGAGTCCATTTTCTCTCCTACACTCTCAAAATGGAAAGGGAACTTTATTGCATTACTCTTGAAACCAGTTTCATGAACTAGCTTACCACTGGAGGCTTAATTTACCTTTTAAAATGGAGACTCCTTTAACATCCTTGGTAAAGAGTCAGCTACTTTCTGCTGCTTGAAATGGAGGGGCAGGAAGTTACTACAAAATAAGAATGTTTTATTGTTAGGTTTATTCATTAAATCATTCTTTTAATAAAGTAGAAGTGATTATCTTGTTACTTCAGCCCCATTCCTGTTCTGTCAGAAACAACATCAAATAATTTTTTGCCCTCTTCTGCCTGTTAGTGTCTTATAACTGAACACATCTTAATATATGGTCATTTTAAAATTGGGACTTGTAGTAGTTGCCTTTCTTGCACAAAATATAATCTTATCATAAACATGGGGGATTATAAGCCAGATTACACATCTGGATCATGGTGCTAGTGGCGAGGAGTCAGTGTGTTATCCACCTATCCATCCATTTAGTCATCCATTAATATTTATAGAATTCATAATAGGTACCAAGAACTCTTAGATTAGGAAGTTAAAAATAAATTCCAATTTTGGCCTTGCTGTTGGTTATTTATGAGCTTACTATTTAATTTTCACATATTTATGCATTTTCCAAAATTTGTTACTGATTTCTAGTTTCATACTATTATGACTGGAAAAGATGCACAATTTTTAGATTTAAGATCTGTTTCATGACCTAACATATGGTTTATTTTTGAGAACTTTCTGTATGTAACTGAGAAAAGTGTCTATTATGTTGCTGTTCAGTAGAGTGTTTTGTGTATATTTGTTAGGTCCATTTTCTACAAAGTGTAGTTTTAGTTCAGTGTCTCCACATTGATCTTTTTTTGTTGAAAGTGGAGTATTGAAGTCTCTTACTATTACCATACTGTGATCTCTTGCTTACATATATAAGATTATGTATTATTTTGTATGTGCATAAATATGTATGTATTCATTCCAGTGTCAGGTGCATATGTATTTGCAGTTTTATGCCTTCTGTATAGTCTGAGACAGTGATGGCAAACTTTTTAGTGCTTTCAGTGATACAAACAGCCTGGAGTGACACATGTGCTAAGGTTCACTTCACTATTTCTAGTCTAGGCTTACACTCCCCCACCTTTGTCATGTTCTCTGAATGGCTTGGGCTTCTGCCTATGATCTGAGGTCAAATGAGGATGCTACTCAGTGTGCAAGATCCCTGATTGGCCTCAACAGTTAGGTGGGTCTTCTGTCTGGCCTCTGTTACCCTCCTGGATTGATCAGGGTTGCAAGTTACATGCTCTATGTGGATAGTACTTCTGCGTGGAATCTATTTGGATAGCATCATAGGCTAATTTCTGAGTCTGGAAAAGATTGCTGCGGTTGCCTGTGGGGCACTCAGAAGTGCCAGAGCCCAGGGTATGCAGAATCCCAGACTTAGCTCCTGGAGTCCAAAGCAGGGTAACATTACGACTCAACCTCCATGGTTAGGAGGACCATATTTCTGCTGCAGATATTCATGGTCACAGACTTAACTTTTAACCAGGAGAAGTTTGGCGTGGAGCACCATGGCTGAGTGAGGTCAGCTGCTCAATTACAAAGGTTTAGCGAGGCTAGATCTGCCTTTTCAGAGATATTTGTGGAAATGGGGTTGTTTTGAAGCTGCAAAAAGCCTTTTGAAGATCTTTAAACTTGGAGGGGAAGCTGGGAAGATGGCAGATTGATAAGTAGCAATGTAAAGAGGCTCTTTGGGAGAAACAGTTCAGATGTTGGAATTTGACATCATGGAGAGAACCAGATGAAAGGAGATGAATCCTCACAGCCCAGGGAGAAACTAAAGCAAGGGAAAAAAAGAAGGAAAAAGAAAACAAAAGGAAAGGAGAGGTGTGGACAGTAGGGTAGAGCCAGATGTACTCTCACTGGAGCAGATCCCACTGTGTGCGAAGCGCTGCTGGAATCCTAGGATGCATGGTCATGGTGAAGTTTGGGATTGGCAAGCCCAAGGGCCTCAGTGGGAGGATGCAGTCACGGAGGGGAGTGATGGAGCAGCAAACAGAGCCAGCATGGAGATCTGCACCGGCCCATGGTGAGTGCATGGAACTCAGTACTCCCACAGGAGTGGGTGATTGCCTGGGTGACATTTTGGAGTTGGGCAGGACAAGTCCAGATCCAGAACTGTAGTGGCTTCAGTTAGCCACTCTTAGTGCAAAGCAGATTGGTGAGAATTGCTTGGACTGAGTCCCACCCCTGTGTGACATCCAATAGCCATGATGAAGTTTCCCCTGAAGCTATCCCAAACCGGTTCCATCCATGCATTACACATTAATGTGGTGAAGACCCACAGTGGTTGACCAGCTCAGAAGAGAGGGGCCAGCCTGCACCACTCCTGTTTGTACCTCAGTGGTCAACAGCAGACTGGGGATGGTAGCAATCCTTAGCAAGAATGCTTCAGAGTAATCAATAAAGGAAGCACCTGGGACCTCTACTGTACACTTGTCTGGAAGAATACAGAAACATGACAAGAGAAGGAAACAAAAGGAAGTCTCCAGCCCCCAACCTGAACAATACTGCCCCAGGAGAGGCAGACACAGAAGAGAGCAGGGGCAGCACACCTGCAGTATCGGGAAGCAACATTATTTGACATCAATAAATATCTTTATGACATTATAGAAGAACTCAAAACAGAAATGCTAACACAAGTAAAGGAAGATGTAAGAAGATTAATAAAAGAAATGCTAAGCACCTCTCAAGAAGACACAGATGGAAGAGTGGAGGAGCATAGCAAAAGAAGGGAAACCTTCAATGAAGAATATTTAAAAAATTTAGAATACATGAAACACTCAAAGAGAATACCAGGAAATTAAAAACTCCATTGAAAACTGGCAAAACTGCTTGAAAGAAACTAAAGTAGACTATCAAACTTGAAGACAAGTTAACAATGTGTGATCGCAAAAGGAAATATCTGTTAAAAATAACAAGGAACCAGGAAGTAACAATACAAAGGCAAGAAGATGACAAGAGGATCTATAATTTAACAACAAAAAATGTGAGTGAAGAAGCAGGGGTAAACACAAATGAACTACAAAGGCTATTTACAGAAATAATCAAGGAAAACTTCCCAAGCATAGGAAAAGGAAATGATATTCAGATATATGAGGCATGCAGAACTCCAGCCAGATATAACCAAAATAGATCTACACCCAGACATATAATAAGGTCATAGAAATTCAGCACAAGAACAGAATATTAAAAGCTGTCAGAGAAAAGAAACGGAACACCTATAAAAGAAAACCCATCAGAATCATGAAAGACTTCTTGACACAAACCATCAAATCAAGCAAAGCTTGGAGCAAAGTATTCCAAATCCTGCAAGAAAATAACCTCTAACCCAGATTGATAAACCCTGAAATACTGTCTCTCAAAATTAATAGAGAAACAAGATGCTTCCCTGACAAAGAGGAACTGAGGGAGTTTGTGACCACCAATCCAACCCTACAAAAAATACTGAAGGACATTCTACAGAGAGAGGGGAAAAGAAAGAAAAAACATGGTTTCAGGAACAGTGGCAGAGGAGGCTCACTGAAGTTGGTAGACAGTGGAATGAAGAGGAAAATTAGACAACCAAGGGCAGAAAAATAGCATGGGAGAGAAGACTGGACATAATCGCTAACACGGATGGCCTTGATACACTAACAAAAGAAACACAGGCAGAGTGGATCAGGAGATAGGGTCCATCAAGATGCTGTATATAAGAAATACAATTAACCTGAAAGAGGGCTTATGGACTGAAAGTCAAACATGAGAAAATATTGCTCGATGTGACAAGGGAACCTAAGAAAAGTGGGGTAGCTTGCCCAGCAGCTGCGATTGGTTGGAAAGACATAACAGTTTTATACAATGGAGAACTACTCAGCTATAAGGAAGGAAGACCTTGTGGCTCTTGTAGGCAAATGGATGTAACTTGAGATCAACCTCTGGGGTAAAAAGGCTCAGAATCACTTAGGTAAACAGCGGCTGCCTCCCTAATCTAAAACTAAAGGAGTTATAGAGATACAAAATGTACAACGTATCCTGTGAAAGTGAAAGAAGAGGAACTGTCTAAAACGGGAAGGCAGAGGACACTGTTAATCTTGTATCATGATTTGAAACCCACATTGTTCTCATCACTCTGTTTAGTTTGGTTATATTCTCTTCCAGTCTGTCTACTTGTACTGGATTTGAGGGCACAGACAGCTATTTAAAAAATAGCAGGATATACTACGATAACCATCTTTAATTTCCTATTAACTTACTCTTAAGCCCACTGTCTCGTTATGAGCAATTTTATTTGAATCTGGTGTGTGAGATTGCTGTCTTGTCTTGACTGATTTTATTTCTGTTATGTTTGATAGTATCAAGTCTGAGGGTAGAGGCAACTACTCTGAAGATCATAAGATTTACTAGGATACCCATTCTGGTTTGACTATGACCTGCTGTTGAAGTCCTACAACGTTTCCAATGCTTTGTTTTATTGATTTTGATCTGTAATGCTATGTTCAGTTTTATTGTGCCTGATGATATGGGCAATTCAATTGAAGATAACAAGACATCATTGTAACCACTGTAGATCACCTTGTATTGTGGTTTTAAATCATGTACTATGTTCGTCTTTTTGTTTTGAACTACCCCATTTTGTTTTCTTTCTTATTTGGTTTTATTCCTTTCAAAATCTTAAAAAAAAAAATCTCTGAACTTGGGTGGTATTAGGCAGATCCAGATAGTTCCCTCCAGATGTGCATGATGTGTGCTTACCTGATCTGGGGAAGCCTGTGGCAGTGCACAAGTCTGGTTGGGGAGCCAGCTAGGAATTCAAAGCAAGCTGACCTGTTGATCTTGCTTTCTGTAAAACAATTCTGTTGAGAAGTCTTTCAGGTTGGAAGGTTCCACTGGCCAGAAGGTGAAGCCACCCAGATATACCCTTTTCTTTGTTTTTAGCTGACCTCAGCTGGTGTAACCCAGCTGGTGGCCCCAGTGTTCCTCAAAGAGTGAGCTATCATGGAGCCCCTTGCAAAGTATTCCAGAGTGTGGGGAAACTGAGTGCTTGTCTCCACCTAGCTTTTTATTCACCATAGAAACTGAGCCCCAGGGAGCTATGTGTGGTACTGTGCTGACTCTGACAAGGGGTGCCACAGTAAAGGTGAAACAATTTCTCTTACATTAGTGGATCTGTTTTTAGTTCCATGGGCCTGGCAGGTGTTTTGTCTGAGATACAGGAGTGTTCTTGTCTCTCAGAGCTACAGAGTGAGTTTTGTGAAGGGCATGGAGCTGGGAAACTTCTGTTCTGCTGCTTTGCTGACATCATGCCTCTTCTTGAAAGACAATTTCTTCTTGAAAGACAATGATGTATGCATTTCTCAGCCACGTTTTTTATCTTCTCTATGTTAATGTTTTTTTTTCCCAATCAGTTGATACTAAATACAAGAAAGTGAAAAATGAAACAAAGGCAGTTAAAAAGAAAGGTCACAATACAGAGATTCCTGGTGTTTCTACAGCCAGCAGAAGTGATACCATCAAGCAACCAGCTACATCCAAAGCACCTTCTCAGAGCAAGGTAGGATGGAGCCACCAAAGTGGCCTTAATCCTTATCACAACACTCTCACGTAACAATCTGTGTCCTTCTATGCCTTACAATCTTCTGTTCTGTATCACACTGCATTTATGTAGGGAAAGTATCTTGGTTACTTTTCTCTTATTTCTGGGACAAAAACCCAACACCCAAAATGAAGGAAGGAAAGTTTTATTTAGCTTATAGTTTTTGGAGGTTTCAGTCCATAATCAGCCTGCAGCAAGCAAGGTGGCATAGCACTGGAGCAATCCTTCAAGGTGGCAGTCAGAGCAAAAGACAGCCAGAACAAAAAGGGGAAACAAGCCTCTTCTCCCTTGTATTGCACATAGGCCACCCTCTTTACCACCCGCACCCCACCTTCCATCCCCCAACCCCCACTCCCCACCATAAATGTAGCACTCACAAAATCTCTATGTCCTCCTGTTACACAGGCTGAGGATATTTACAAAGGATCATGGCTCTCAGCTGAGTGTCTCAGATAAACTTCTAAACTTTGCAAATTGACACAATCTATCAACCATAATAGAAAGCAAGGTTATAATGTGAAAAGCATGTCTAAATAACAAAAAGCTAAGTAGGCTCAAAACTGGCTAGGTTTAAAAATTCACTGAGTTTCTTATTGTTATTTATTTCTTCTATTTTTGTTATCATCTATTTATTGCTTCTATTCATCTTATTTCTGATGATTTGAACATATTAGCCCATAGAAGTTGGATTCAATTAGAATACTCCAAAGCAGTAGTCTTCAGGAAGTAAATCCTAAGTGCTTTCAAGACTAATTGTTGTGAGGAAGTAAGAGAAGAAGTAGAGTTTCAATTGCATGCAGTTGCAAAAAAGACCACAGCCCATCCCACAGGAAACCAGGAAACGAGAGTGCCCCGGAGGGAGGGTTGCGATAACTTGGGTAGAGATAGGAACCTTTGCATATGCCAGCATGGACCAAGCCTTTTACTCACTTTCCTGTCACTGGGACAAAGAACTGACACCCACAACTGAAAGGAAGAGAGGCTTATTTTTGTGTCTCCAGTTTATTCCATGGATGACTGGTTCCAAGACAGAAATCAGATGGCAGAGAAGTATGGCAGAGGAAATGATGCTCCCCATGGCAGCAGGACAAAGATAAAGGGAGAATCCGTAACAAATGGACACTTCCTGGCCACATCCTGGCACATGTAGCTCCTAACAGGACATTTAGCTATGAACTCAGCAATGGATAAATCCACAGATGATCCAATCACCTTCCACACACATGAGAACTCTGTGGGGCTTTTTAGATCTACGCTATAACACTGAGGAAATAGGACTGCAACTCAGAGAGAAAAGTTTAGAGAGCATCTCGGTCTCTGAGAATAGTCACTATGGTTTCGAGAGAACAGCTGGCAGCATCAGAGGGCCCCACCACAGCCTCTATTATGTTCTATAAATGAATCTACTCTTTGAGTGTTTAAACCTTGCTAATTTTGAGCCAACTTGTCTTTTGGTAACTCAGACATGCTTTTCATATCATAACATTGCTTTCCCCACATAAATGCAGTGTGGTACAGAAAAGAAGACTGTAAGGTACAGAAGGACAGAGATTGTTACAAAGGAAGAACCCCAGGGTCTTCCTTTGCCCCAGCTTCTATGCTTAAAATTCTTCCACTAGTTTTTTTCCATGCAGCATCCTGGTTTCCCCAAGGAAGGGGCTTGCAAATACAATGTAGGGCAAAGGAGGAAACTGGATCTGTAGTTAGAAATTTCTGGTATCTTCACCTGGATCTGGTAATATTTCTTAGTTATAAACTTGCTAGTTTTGAAACTGGAAGTTTTCCTTTCTTTATGGAGGCAGTTTCCTGTACATTTGATATGTGATTAATAAGGTATTGCTTAATTAGCTTGGCAGAGACAGGGTACTGTTTTCTTTTACAGAAAATGAAAAAGAAGGATCCCAGATTACTCGACTCAAATAGCAGCACAGCGGTGATAGGAAAACAGAAGACAACACCTGATGAAAGGAGTAAGCGTAAACAGAAATCCTCCACGGTGACAAAAATGGGAAAAAATCTACAGCTGAAATCTGGCACTAAGGTACGATCTGAATGGAGGAAAAGTCAGCTTTCCAAGGGTTTGATAGCTTTTTTTGTTACAAATTTGAACATATTCTCCTGATTAGGTTCTTATATAGAAGACTCTGATATTTTATACATTTGAATCTCACAGAACTCAAGAAACTGCCTTTCAGAAAATATATATTTTAGATACACAATTAAGAAGTCATTGGTAAGCTTAGGCAAAAGATTTGCACGGTAGAGCTCAGACTGGGCAAGTTGGTGACTTAATGAGAGCCAAATTCAAAAAGAAACTTTTTGATATAACTTGTGCAGGCCCTGGTTTTAATAACACACACACACACACCCCTATTCAAGGGCTTCACAAAGAAGAGATATGAGAGCATATTGGTTCTCTCAGAACTTCAGAAAAAGTTGAGAAAATACTACAGCCCTGTTTCAGACAGCTTGTTATGGTTTGGAAAAATTATTCTAACACATGTAGGTAAAAGTAGATACAGACTATAAACCTAGAAGACACGTTTCTAAGTCAGTGAAAACATCCCTGCCCAGACCACACCTCTCACACTCATCCCATTGCCACCGCATTTTTCTGTTTCCTGTTTGGACATTGATTGTTATCTCTCTTGGTTAAGAGATCTGGTGGTGACATTAGAATTCTGCACCCGATCCCTTCTTAGGTATGAGTGGATATTTTAGAGCATATATGCTTCAAGAGAACGATTCCTAATACACCTAGGGCAAAGGAAGGAGATAATATGAGAAGAAAACACACTTCACAAACCATGGTCATTGTAAGCAGAGAGATGAGCAGAGAGATCAACTGCATCATCTCTCTCTCTCTCTCTTTCTCTCTCTCATTTTCCATCTCTATATTTTTTCCCAAATCCAGGTTACTAAGGCAAAAAAAAAAAAGTGAAGTAAAAGCAACAAAATGAAGTTATCTCATCTAAGCACCTCTTAATTAAACATCCTGTGATACAGCCAGTTCAATGAGATCCTTCATTACATGAGAGTAACAGTTCATGGACTTCCTTGCCTCTACCGGATTAGTCAGAAGTGGATAATTGCCTGTTAAATAACTGAAAAATATTAAAAATATTTTATAAATATTAAAAATAAAAGTAAATTTATTAATGTCTTGGTTTGATTTGGGATAAGGGTGGATTTTTTTTCTCTGCGCTGGTATCAAGCGATGTAGTTGTTTGGGAAATATCTGTTGAATGAATAAAACTACTATTGGGAAATTGCACTGTATGCAGTTGTCAATGAACACAGAATATAGATACCCCAAATTACTGGATAACATATGTGAAAATCTTATGAAAATGAAATGGGTTTTAATTTTACTAATAACTTTAGAAGAACAATTAAATAATTAATAAATTAAACGACTCAGGATGTAGATTATTGTACAACTCGCAGCACTTTTCACACCATCAGGCAGCTGAGGTTGTGGAGCAAGCATGTAATCAAATATTTAGAGAAAAACATATCCTACTGGTTGTTTCCATTCCTGTGCAGAAAGTTTTTAACTTGATATGATTTCACCAACAAAACAAATATCTTGAAAAAAGCCCAATTTGAAAAGATATATGAACACATACAAATACAAAACTACAGCAGACTTCTTATCAGAAACTATCCAAGCGAGAAAATTGTAGGTTACCATTTATAAATTCTGAATTAAAAAAAAAATTGTCAAATTAGAATTCTAATAGACTTAAAATAATCAACCATGAAAGAGAGGTTAAGAGATTTTCAGACAAATGACTATATCATTTATGTGGTGGAAGTGAATTAAAAGGCAACTTAGAAGAAGTAGTTAAAATTAATGAATATAATACAAGAAAAATTATATTAGTATAAAAGATGCAAACTGAAAACTCATACAAGTACATATAAAAATTTATTTATTCCTATTTTTAAGCACCAGGAAGAAAACTGATATTCAAAAGCATGGCCTGGTCTGTATGTATGCATATATTTAGCTGAGCGGGCCATAAGTTTCAACTACAGCAGTTTAAATCTCTTTTGATTTCATCAGCCATGAGCAATATGTAAATAAGTGAGTACCTCTGCATTACAATAAAGCTTCATTTATATGCACTGGACTTCTAAATTCATATAATGTTTATGTGTCATACAATATTAATGTTTGTGTTTTTTCTAAATATTTAAAAATTGTAAAAATCATTTTTTTATCTAGCAGGCTGTTTGAAAACAGGCAGTATGTTACACAAAAAGAGCAGCCTTGACCCATGAGTCACAGTGTGCCAATATCTGCAAAAATATTAGCAAGATATTGCATGTTTATAGAATATTTAAAAACAAAACTATGGCACTAATGGAATGGAATATGAAGAGGAAGGATCAGAAGTACACTGTTGCAAGGGCTTTATTCAACATGTTAAGCAGCACATTATTCCAAAGTGGATTCTGGATAAAGATATATATTGTGATCCCTCTGTCAGTAACTAGAAAAATATTTTTGAAGAAATGTAATTGGTGAGTTTGTTCTTTTAAAGAAAGGCTGGGTATACACAGCAACAGAAGATCAACCAGTCTTCACACTTAGGCAAGCTGTTGATTTTTCCGCAAGAGTACAAACACAAAGCTATGCAGAAGGAAATGGACTTTTTTACAAACAGTACAGGAACAATTTGATTTTCATGTTAAAAAAGTAATGACCCTTATCTCCACTTTACTCTCAAAACAAAATTAACTCAGAAAAGATCTTTGGCTAAGTGTAGAAACCTAAAAGAAACAAAAAACAAAACAATAAAAAACAAATTACCCCAGAACTTCCATAGAAAACAATACAAAATATCTGGGATCTTGATTTAGACAAAGATTTGTAGATTCAACGTATATGCTACCAAAAGCACAGTCTACACAAGATATAGTTTAGTAATTTGAACTGTATAAAAATTCAAAAGATTTCTTCAAAAACTACCCTAAAAGGCAGGACTGAAAGGCAAGCAATAGATTTAGGCTGAGAATTTTTTTTAATCACGTGACCGTGGAATTCTGTATCATCTTTTTTAGTCTTTTTTCCATTTTAAAGTTAGAATAGGAAATATTTATATGCAGCAAAGAATAATATTAATGAGATTTGATAGTATACAAGTCATAGAGAAATCTCATAATTCAGTAGTATGAGATAAACCAACACTTTTTTAAAATGTGCAAAGCATGTAAATGGATGTCAAAATAGCACATAAACTGAATATAGTTTATCTTTAGAGGCATACACATGAGATTGCAGTGTACACTTACTGGAATTGTTAAAATTTAATTTAAAATTAAATTGATCATGATGAGTATTGTGAAGAAGCAACAGAAGCGGTTACATAATACTGGGTGGAGGAAATGTGAAATGGTACAACTGTTTTGCAAAAGGAGTAAAAGGTTAATATTGCTCTACAGGGTTAAATGCTAAGGAGAATGAAGAGGAACTGAAACTTTCACTTATTGCTGCAGGAAGTTAAAAATGTTACAGTCCCCCATAGTTGAGCCACATACACTGATCATGTGATCCCCTGCTTTCACACTAAATTTTTATGGACTTGAAATGATCGTGTAAATTTACATAAAAATCTGAATGTAGATTTTTATGGATGCTTCATTTGTAGTTATACAAAACTTTAAACAAACAATTGATCCTCATCTAGGAAGTGATTAACTTTGGTGTATTCATACAACGGAACGTTACTAAACAATTAAAAGAAATAAATTACAGAAAACATAAATACACAGATAACTACCAACTGTGATTAGGCTAGACTACTGTATATCTTGATTTTGGGCATGGTAATATGACTACATAATTGTGTAGAAATGCACAAAAACTTCCATTAATTTTCATGAATTTCATTGTATGCATTTTGTGCTGTATAAACAGAATACATTCAAATTTTTTGACTCTTTTTAAAAATTTTATTTAAAAGGAAAAGAGAAAAAAAGCAGAACAAAACAAAACAGTGTAAGGGTACAAGTAATTCAGAACTACAAAAAAAAAAACAAAACAAAACAGTAAGCTATCACCAGTTAATAGATTACTCGCTATCACTTAGAAACGGTGTTTCAGGTCACAAGATCAAAGCACACAAAGCGAACATTCAAACATTGTGACTGCAAACAGTTGTGTTCAGAAATCCAATCAAAAATATTAATATGGTCTTCTATGTAACACACCTAAACACCCTTGCTGTTGTATTCTTCAGGGCACTTTCCCTCTCTTTATTAAAACAAAATTTACACATTTTGGGTTTTATTGCTCCCTTAGATCTTATTACATTTTTTGGTAAGAGAATAAAATCAAGCATGATAAAACAAAGCTGTCAGTCAAAACCAAGGATAGACATAGCACATGATGTAAAAACAGAGTACAAGGTTATGAACAATGGTTACCATAATGCCTCTTGCTTCCTTAAGAAGAATTGTCTATCTCTTTAGGTATTATAAAGTTAAACAAAACAGTAGAGAACAAGACCAATAAAACCTAAACTTTGTAAATCTTACAGAACCTCAAAAGAGGATAATAGTCAAACCAGAATGGGCATCATAGTGAATCTTACTGCCTTCAAAGTAAGATGCCTATACTCTGGTACTTGATACTTTCATACAGAGCAGAATAGAGTCTTATCAGTCAAAACAAGATAACGGGGGTATTACAGGACTTCAAGTTGATAGGAAATCAAAAATTTACTATAATATATCCTGCTAGATTTTTTATTTTTTCCTCTTAGTTTAAAAAAAGAAATTTAAAAAATTAAATACTTTTTTAATGAATAAAGGAGAGGTTGAGATAAAGGGGGCATAACAACATAACTATACAGGTTAAAGCACGACACTTTCAGCAACCTAGTGCTTCACCACAAATAACCCGACTTAATAGTAGTTACCATAGTGTCTTTTTCCTTGAAATATTTGAATATAACTTCATATGCTATAGCATCAAACATATCAAGACTGTGTAACACCATTTAAGTGGATGAAAGCTTTGTAGAGTATTTAGAATCAGCTAACAGAAAAAATGATCAACGGTTTCTATATTGTCTCTTTACCTATAACAATTTTTGTTTATACTACCACATACGATAAAATCCAGCAAGCTACAACATGATAAAATCAACAGAGACAGAAGAGCCATAGTTTGGTGCGGCTTCAAGACAAGATGGTATTAAATCAGGACTAGCTATTATGATGTCTTGTTTCTTCAAAATAGCTGTTCATTGCATCACAGGCCACAGTATCAAACACCCCAGAATAAAGGTATTCCAATTAATGAGTGAAAACTTTATAAGACTCCAAGGCCACATAATGGGGAATCATGGTTACCACATACTTTTATATATTTGAATCATTTCCTACACTACGGAAACTATTCGGTGTTCGCAGGTGAGAGTTTGATTTAGTTCACCTATGAGTATGGTTTCAAGCTGCGCCCATTTATTGATAAATACCTCAATTTGATCTTTCTTTATAGTTGAGTAGTACTCCATTGTATAGAAATACCACAGCTTTTTTTATCCATTCCTCAGTTGATGGACATTTGGGTTGTTTCCAAGATCTGGCAATTACAAATTGTGCTGCTATAAACATAGGTGCGCATATATCACTGTGGTATGATGCTTTCAGTTCTTCTGGGAATATGCCTAGAAGTGGAACAGCTGGAACAAATGGAACTTCCAATCCCAGCTTTTTGAGAAATCTCCAGACTGACCTCCACAAAGGTTGTACCAGTCCATACTCCAACCAACAGTGTAAGAGTTCCTTTTTCCTCAAAACTTCTCCAGCACTTGTTGTTGTTGGTTTTCTTGATCTTAGCCATTATTTCAGTAGTGAGATGGAATCTCAGTGTGGTTTTAATTTGCATTTCCCTAATAACCAATGATGATGAACATTTTTTCATGTATTTATTTGCCATTTGTATTTCTTCCTCTCAGAAGTGTGTGTTCATCTCAGATGCCCATTTTTGGATTGGGTCTTTGAATTTTGGGGGTCTGAGTTTTTTTTAATTTGTTATATATTTTAGACAAAAGTCCCTTGTCTGAGGGGGAGTTCACTAAGATCTTTTCCCAATTTGTGGGTTTTCTTATTAATATGCTGGAGGATTTTTTTGACTTACAGAAACTTTTTAATGAGAGGTGGTCCCAGTTATTGATTCTGGGAAGTATTTCCTGTGCAGTTTGAGTCCTGTTCATGAATTCTATGTCTTCAAGGTTTCTACCTAATTTGTCTTCCAAT